CCCCCCCCGTGGCAGAATACAGCTCTGACAATCAGCGCTTAAGAGTACTGTGATCTTAATACAGCTCTCCTGACTTCTCACAAAACAGCAATGAATCAACTAGAAGTATCCGTTCATCAAATTCTATCAGAGCTATAATTCTGGTGGGGGAGTACTGTCATGTATCTACCACTGTAAAAACACAATTCCAGTACACTACTCTATAATACATGATAACTCGATTCTATGTTGGAGTACCTTTTCATAGATAAAGGTTGACATTGTCGATAACTACTATCCCCACATTGGTGACCCGGGCGTGACCATCAAAGCAAGACAATACATCTGGGAAGACAAAAGATGAGGGAAGGATGAAATGTTATTCTACTAAAATAAATTAAGTGCAGTTACATTTAAAAGGGAGTTCTTGAAATTGTGATACGGAATGGAGATAAGAAGTGTGAATTGGTTAAAATAAACATTTAAAATCAACTATATAAAAAAATTTTGAATTATTTAGTTTAGAGAATCAATGTTTGACATTTTTTCTTAGAGAGCTAGTTACACAATCTTCAAGAAAAGTAAAATCCCTAAGAAGAAAGGGTGCAACAAGAAACTATGCATTTCAACTCTGATCCTTGCAGCTGTGACTTCTGCTGCAATTCGCTCTTTGCCATTCAACATCACAAAAGGCAAAATCAACATCTTCACAGTTAGATGAAATCAAAATTGTCTGTGTTAGTGAGGGCAAAGATCCTTGGATGTTATATCGTTAAATCTGCGGCTTAAAACAAAATTTGATGCTCACGATGAATTTTAAAGCAACTATATCGGCATGGCGATGTATCCGTTGAGTTGATAGTTCGCGATATATCGATTTATCGCTTGGTCCTAATCATCAGATGATCATTACTTTTGGATTCGCTGATCCACAGAATGTTGTTATTTTAAATCTATTAACATATTGCTTTTAAAAACGACCTGTTTTTACTAAAAAAGGGACTCTGAAATTTGAATGTCCGAGATCCCAAGAACCCGTAGTTTATAAAATCTAGTAAAATCACTGCAAAATATGCTGCTTTTCTTCCATTACCATTGCTGCCAACTGTACTGGATTTTCCAGGAGATTACTGGATTTTTCCAGTTTCTCCTTTTCTACTGGTTTAATAAAGAATTTTCTGGTTTTTGTACTTTTTAGAAAATTCTCTAAAATTGAGTAAGTTTCTTTAAAAAAAATCTATTTAAATAGATTGTTGCTTGCTTAAATATTTAAATAAGTCTCATTTTTAAAAATCAATTAAAAACTTTTTTTGTTCTAAAATTTTCAGTTTATTTTTACTCAGAACTCCCTTTTTAAATTAGTTTAAAAAAAATCTTAACTATCTTTGATGAATGCCATTTACCATTCTAAATTATGGGTAAACATAATACAAAACATTTTAAGTGCATTTAATTCAATCATAACTGGAAAATATTGCTTTTTTTTTCTATTTTGATTATGATAATGGAAATCCCTAAAATTCCCTATGTGTGAAATATTTTGCATAATCTACTGGATTTTTTCCTATCCATGTTGGCTAGTATGCATATCAATTATAAAACAAAAAGAATAAAACATTTCAAACATATTTTTCCCTATAGTTTTCTCAGAATTATTCATCCCATAATATTAAAATATTGCGTGTTAAAATGATTAATGCAATCTATTTCCTTGCATGTGGTAACAAAATAATTGAAAAATTCTTTAAGAAAAGCACTCTTGTTTCAGTTTGACTGTACAAACACCTTGTCAGATCAAGTGTTGGAGAACGTTTATGTTCAGGTTGAGCCCAGTGAAGGTTTTGAAGTGGTCTGTTACTCTCCTTGTTCAAGATTACAGTACAGTGTTCCTGGTACAGCATACGCCTGCATCAGCTTACCCAATGATCCCTTAGTTGGTAAGTTTTATTTACTTCTTATTGTTTTTAGATCTGCATGCTCTGTATAGTTTGTCTACGGTAAGAACTCCTCCCACCACAATGTCTGGGGCTGTCTGCTGCTATGGAAACAAGAATAGCTCATTTCAGGGAGGGTAGCTTCCCTTTCTCTCGCCAACCCGAGCCAAAACCTGTCCTAAACAGTGACCCCACACCCCTACTTGAAATAGTTATATCCCGTTACCATAGTCACCTCCACGGGTCCAGGCGAATGGCATGGGGAATTCTTACTTTTGGCAAACTATATGCAGTGGTGCTAAATATTACAATTTCATAGTCTATTACAGTCTTACGGTTGAGTTGTTAAAATTGTGGTTTTCAGAAGTTTACGTAATCTTATTCTTAAAAAAAACTTTAAAAACTTTGGAAAGGAAAACTTTCCAAAGCTTTTGTTTTTTTCCCTTAACTACGAAGAACTAATCCAATCAAGTTCTAACCAAGCAATAATTTCTTTCTACTCTTTGAACAATTCTAAAAACAATTTTAAAAAAATAGAAAATCGATTTCATGGCAATAAAAACATAGCTGCCAACTCTACTGGATTTTGCCAGTTTCTCCTGGTTTAATTAAAATTAGATTTGCACATTTTTGAAAATTTCCTAAAATTGAGTAAGTTTCCTGTAAAAAATCCCTATTTAAATAGAATTTTTGTACAGATCACTGCTTGGTTGCTTGAATATTTAAATAATTATTACTGATACATAATGAAGCAAACTTCATTTGTAGAAGTTCTTGTTTTAAAATGTCCAGTTTATTTTTATTCTGAACTCTCTTTTTAAATTAATTTAAAAAAAATCTCTTTACTACCTTTGAGGAATTGCAGCCCTTTTAATATTCGAAATTAAGAGTAAAGATAATAGCAATGTGCTACAATTATTATAAAATTTATAATATTTCGTAAAATCTACTGGGTTTTTTCCTATCCATGTTGGCAGCTATGTAAGAATAAAAATAAAAATCTGAATCTTTTGCCCTCCCAACAAGCCCGTCTAAAACTTAATCTTCTCTCCCATTAGAAAAGCAAAAAGACATAAATACAAATCTTAAATGCTGAGTGCAAAAAAACTTTAGCGGTTCAAATGATGATTAAAAAAAAAAAAGCAATAATGGCTAGTTCTAATTTAACCAAAAACTAGAACATCAAATTTCTATTTTATAATGAGGTATAAAGTTGCAGCAATGTAATTTTTTATTTAGTACTTTTATCCAAATTTTACTTTTTTATGTATAATAGTAAATTTATGTATAACTTTATTTATATTTTGTACCTATATAGAATTTAGTGTGTGTACACCTCCAATTTGTACTAATCTGAATTCTGTAAATGCTAACTGTTTTTATTTATTTTTTTAAAGGTTTATTTAAAGCAATGAAAAACAAAATATTATATGCCATTCTTAAAATTAATATTTGAACCTTGCCGATCGTGAAATGTCCTCTTTTGTTGTGAAGAAAATGAGCAGTTTTTTCCAATTCAGAGTTGCCGCTCTACATGGAAAACCTGGAATTTAAAAATCACCTAAAATAGCAGGGAATTTTAAGTTTTTCCTTACAACTGAGAAAATACAGGGAATTCTATTTCTTTTTTTCATCTTTTAAACGTGGTGACCACTTAAAAATCAATCGGTGGGATATTTAAGGATGATATTTTCAATTACTATTTCTATTCAATTACTATTGCATTATTTGTTTTAAGTATACTAAGCTGTTCCTTATTTCTTCAAGTTTTTCCAGCAATTAAAAGTAGTATAGTTAGCCTAATATAGCTCACTCCAGAGCACAGGGATTGCGTGTTAATAGATTGTACATAATATGTACAGGGAAAACACAGGAAATTCTTTTTCTAGATTTGTGTGGCAACCCTGCAATTTTTATTCATCAAATTTTAGAAGTTAATCCATTAATAAAGGCATCACTAAGAGACACATTCCCTATTCATCATAAACTTCAACTTGGGCATTCCCCGCAGTTGTACCTTTTTTCCGGCAAGACAGATCCAAAAAAAGTTTATTTTTTTACATTTCTAGAACTCCGATTGTATCCTAACCCACACTTAGGAGATCCATTATTGGCGAGTTATTAAGAAATAATTTGGCTCAAAAATTAATCACCAAAAAATTTCTTAGTATTTAGCCCTGTAACCGAAACATTTTTGTGGTTTATAAAGAAGTTATGCAGCTTAAGGAAAGGAAGATAAAAAGAGCTTTTGATGTTCATTTTATCCCGACATTGAATTGTAATTAGTTATGCTCTTGTATTGAGTAACATTTAGTATTAAAAGAAAAGAATAAAAGTATTTACATTCGCTTTCAATAAAATTGGATAGGAATTAAATAGGAATTAAATAGTTGATTTAATTTGCTTAGAACGAGATTTGGAATGATTAAACATGGTGCATAGCGTTTTTAAAGGTGCTTTTGTCGTTGGGTATTTTTAAAAAGTGCCTAACTTTCTCTTTTCAAAAATAAAATAAGGTTTTAATTCGTTATGTCGATTTTTGCCATGTATTGTGCAAAAGCGTGCTTTTCACTTTGTTCTAATTAACGTTTTCACAATCCATTTTGGTGTAACGTACGATAGCGCCAATCATTTTACACGTTTATATATTTTATCATGATCATGTCTTTGAAAATTATTTTGCATTTTTTTTTTTAATGTTTATAGTGCTTAAAAATTAATATTTTTTGAGTGCTTAAAATAAAAACTTAAAAGGTGCTTATTTTTTATTAAAAGATTTGGCTACGGACCCTGTTAAAAAGAATTATATATTGATGAAATAAAGAAATAATATTAGAAATAATATAATAATTATTCAAAATAATAGGAAAAATTTTAACTAAATATGTTTATGCCAATTCATTAAAACATTAGGATTTTCCTAAGTGTTTTTAATTTTGTATTAATAAGCAAATGAACTACTTAACTTTGTTTTGTGTACTTATATTGAAACTTATAATGTCTTTCAGTACTTGGAACATTGAGTAATACATTAAAGTACTTAGTTAAAGATTGTGATCCAAACAGTGGGGAACCAGATGATGAGGAAGGCTATGAAGATGAATATGTAGTAAGTATTCTTACTTATTTTAAGATGATGGCTTAGTTCAAGGAGTTAGGTGTAGTTCAGGGAATTCTAATACAATTGTGTATATTCCTTTTCATTGACATGGAGAGAACATGGGAAATATTAAAGATTAATGAAAATAGAAGAAGAAAAATTATTAAAATAAAATATTTAAAGAAAAAATTTTTTTAGTGTATATTAAAATGCCAAAAAGCAAAACAAATTATAAGATAATCTATTCATCGGCTCACAGGATTATATCCGCAAATAGCACTCTTTTTTGCGGATATAAATCGTGCGAGCTGATGAAGAGATTATATAATTTTGTTTTTAATACAGTGTAACGTCCCATATCCGGACGTCCCTTTCCCGGAAGGGTCAATTTCCCAGACACTTTTTAACAATCAAAATAAACAAACATCTCTCCATCATCCCCTTTCCTTAATAAAAAAAAATAAAATAAAAAAAGAAGTCTTTTGACATATTTTCTCTTTTTTGCATCGAACCCATAAATCACCAGAAAGGGGAAGTGAAGATCTACCAAGCCCATTGAGTGACCATTAGTGACACTCCTCCCTTGGAATGTAGGAAAAAGAGAGAGATTTGTTTTCAAAAGATCGCAACTGAGTCCCCCCCCCCTTTCCCATGCAGGTGGCTAGTAAAAGAGGCATTTCGTGGAACCTTTTTATTGAAAGAAGAAATACTGTGGAAAAGGGTAAACGGGGCAAGCGTTAAGGTGGAGGGGGAGTCAAAATGGAAAATTTGAATAGGTCTAAAAGGATATACGTCCTTGAGAAACAAAACATTCGTTCTTCCCCATACCATGTAATATTTAGGAGGCGGGGGGAAAAAGGGGGTAACATTCTCTCTTTAGCAGATTCTTTCAGTCATAGAAGAAAAAATAAAGAGAACCCGATCAGCGTGCCCCGCCTTTATGCTTGATTGATAGCCAATGATTGGAGAGAAAACAATAATTTGTTACTTCCCCACCCTCAACTTAAATGATCTCCTCTTTACACTTATTTTCTTTCACAAATAAGGAGGAAATGAATTTTTCTCCTCCACCTACCCACCTTAATGAATGACGGGAATTTCCCTTTCTTGCTTGAATCATTCTAGTTAAAAATGGCGGATTATTATTTTCATATGTCAATTTTTTTTCGTTTTCTATATTTTAAGCAATAATATTTTTTTTCTAATATTTCATATTTTATTGATTAGATATTCTAATACTAAAACATTATTCCCCTTAAAAATAATGTTTATTTATTTTTTGCTTCTTAGATTTAGATCATTTTAAGCTTTGTTCCAGAATGACATGAATTTCCCCTTCCTGCTTGAATCGTTCTAGTTCAAAATGGCGGATTAATATTTTCATAACTGTTAAATTTTTTTCGTTTTCCATATTTTCAGCAATAATATTTTTTTCTAATATTTTATTTTTGATTTAGATATTCTAATGCTAAAATATTGTTCCCCTTAAAAATAACGTTTATTTATTTTTTACTTCTTAGATTCAGATCGTTTATTAAATAATTTTAAGCTTTGTTTACCTTGGGGGTCTATTATACGGACTTCTGGAAGTCCCACCGATTCCGGATACGCGACTTTACACTGTATATATATATTTTTAATATTTTTAACTTATTTTAGAAGTTCTATATACCTGCAACTTTTGTGCAGTAAATAAAACTTATTAATTTTCTTAATTTCCTTCGTTTTTTTTTTTTCTTTTCTTTTCTTTTTTTCCTTTTTGTCTTTATTGTGCTATATGTATATGCGTGTAAAAGATAGAAATACAAAGAAAAATATGTTTTAAAAAAGAAAAACGTTACTAAATTATTTTTAAAATGAAATTAAAAGCCAGTAAACAAAATAATGAAAAGATATAATTTTGTCATCGGCACACATGATTATATCCGTTAATTACAGTGTTTTATTGTATTAGTATAGCCCAGGGGTTGCCAAACTTTTTTGATCATCGACCCCTACATAATTTTTCGAAATCTCCATCGACCCCCATAAAAATAATTTTCTGTTAATTAAGATAAAACTCTATTAGATACAGTGTTTGTACATTTGTTTTATGATTTTGAACATTTATTAAAGTAATAGTACATAGTGTAACAATAGCTTTATGAAAAATATACTAATGTTGAAATATAAATACCTTAATATTTATGAAAAAATAAGTAATTATAAGTAAGTAAAAGTAATAAGTAAAGTAACTACGGATTTATTGCTTCTTAATCAATGACATGGGTGTGCCTGGTGTTTTTCTGCAAGATTCGTTATATTGGGTTCAAAATTGGTCCATTTTAATCTTAAATCCCTTCGAAACTCCACATTTAATTTATTTCTGTTCTTAGTTAAGTTAGAATTGACGTGACTGAAACCGTCTTCAACCATATAGGAACTTGGAAATGCTATCATAAATGGCTGAGCTATTTCGTGAAGTCTTACATATTTTTGCATTATATTTATATTTGTCCAAAATTTGCTTATTGTTAAATTTTTAAACAGCATCTTTGCTTCAAATCTCCATAATAATTCAGCAAGCTCATCTTGCATGTTGATGTCCACGTTTTCAATTTGAGCAGAAAATGGCACAATAATCCAATCAGGGATGTCAATGTTTTCCAAATCAGCAAAACGCAGTTTAAAATCGTCACTCAATTTTTGAAGATTACCTGTATATATTTCCAAGTCTTCTTCTTTTATTTCTAATTGTCACATATCTGAAAAATACTGATAATCCTTCGACCAATCGACCCTTCCGGTTCGGATCGACCCCTAGGCTCAGATCGACCCCCGCTTATGTTAAATAGACCCCTGGAGGTCTATATAGACCACTTTGGCGACCTCTGGTATAGCCGAAGCGAAACAAAAATTTTTTTGTCCTGTTATTGTAAACCATCTCCAAATAGAATTTATCGTCAGTTTAAATTTTGACAATGGACTGAACTAGATGGGGTGCAGGGGTGATTGTATTCCAGGTTTACCTTGGATTTCAGAGTTTTTCGTATCATCCCTTGTGGTCTAGAAACTAGGAGGTCTAGGGCATGATTTTTTCACGGAATTCTGCATATTTCAAAACCATTGATTCGTGGAAATACGCAAATTAAAACCTATAATCCAAAGAAATTTTCACAATCTAAAATTAAAAGGATTGAGTTCTACTATCCTATATTGAAATTTTAAAGCCTTTGCTAAATTGCGTTAATGAGAAATTTTAATATTTGCAACTACGCAGGAATCTGCTAATATCGCGATTCATGTTCACACGATTTTAATATCAAACATCGTTTTCGTATTTACCTGATTTAAAAGTTACCTATTGCGGATTGTATTCACATGACTTAAAAATCCAATATCGCAATTTGTATTCACGCAAATTTAAAATCCAATGTTGCTATTAGTATTCACAGGATCCAAAAATTGTGCATTGCGATTTATATTTACACAATTCAAAGATCCAATATTGTGATTTGTATCAACATATTATCATGATTTTAAAGCAAAATATTGCAATTTGTAAACTATGTCATTGTTTTTGAATAATATTAAGAATTGTTAATCAGCGTTGCCACTCCGCAGGGAGAGCAGGAAAAACCTGGAAAATACAGGGAATATAAAAATCAGCTGAAATACCAGGGAAAGTGCTTAGAATTTTGTATTTTTCCTTAGAAACCGGGAATTTTATTTCTTTTTAAAAAATTCAGTACTCTCAAAGCTCTATCTATGGGATATTTAAAGATGATAGTTCAGCTATATTATATTGTATTTTTTTTTCGAAGGCATTATCTGTTTTATGTCAGCTGTTTCTTAATTCTCCACGTTTTTTTGGCAACTGGAACCAGCATCTTTATCCTAATATAGTTCACAAGAGTGCAGTGAATGTGTGTGTCCTCTTTATATATATTGTATAATACGTGCAAAGGAAACATAAGAATTTTTTTGCAGATATCAGTGGCACCCCTGTTAATACATTTTATCAGATAATTTTGCTGGTAAAATTTTTAAAAAAAGAGAGAAAAAAACTTACATAAATTGAACAAAAATCCAAGTAAATCCAATTTTTTTGATTTTCTTTTAATAGCCAACCAATTACTTAATGAACAAATTGCCATAAATTTTATGTATGAAAAAAAATGAATGTATTTGTCTCTGCAGCTTGAAGAACTGGACATAGTGTTGAGCGACCACATTCAAAAAGTATTAAAAACAAACTTTAGCGCTGCTTGGGAAGAAATCACTGCTAAGAACGAACTGGAAGACACTTATGCCTTTAATCTCAAAACTCTGGAAGGTAAGCTTAAACATTTTCTCATAGGAATATTTCTTGTCAATTCCTTACTAGTGGTTTTGCTTTATAGAAAGGTTAAACAAATGAATCAATTTAGCTTCAATTAGCTTAGGGATTAGAATTTAAACTTTTTCTTTAATACTCAATATAATTTTTATTTATTTATTTATTTTACTGAAAATTTTCTAGATTTAAATCAATTTTATATATTTTTATTTCCCTCACTTTTTTCTTCTTCAAATTTACACTTTTTAGATCTTAGAAAAACAGTTATTCATTGTTAAAATTTCTCGAATTTACAAAATTAATATTTGATTATAAATGAAAAAAAGAAATTCAACTACTTTTTTTGGATTTTATATTTTAGTACAAATATAATTCTAATAATCTAACTCATTTTTTTAGTAACTATTTAATTATTTGTCTGTTTTTTATAATTAAAAAATACCAAAATGTATTTTTACTTGTAATTAGAACATTAGGAAAATATAAATATGTAAGGAACAAGAGTGTCCCAACTGCATCAAAATGCTTAAAGCTAGAGTGATTTATTATTAATATTTTTATGTTTATGTGTGTACCAAATGGTTTCTGTCATTTCTTACAGATGCTGTAAAGAATGTTCTCCAATTTCTTGGCATGCAACCTTGCGAAAGGTCAGACAAAATTCCTGAAAACAAAAGTTCACATGTACTTTTTCTGTCTGGAGTGTACCGCGGTGGACACATGGTGTTGGTGCGAGCAAAGCTTGCTGTCCGTGCTGACACGGAAGGCGTCACCATGAACATTGCTGTCAGGAGTAGTGATCCCAATGTTAGTGAAGTGATAGCGTCTGCCATCGGATAATCTCTGATATAGTCGTTTTATTAGTTAAAATGTATATTTAAATATATTTTCAGTTAACCTTTTAATGATGATTCGTTTCATGCTAAACTGAAATTAAATCTGATTGCAACATTTTTTTTTATATTTTTCTACAAATTTCTTTTGATCTTAGCCATTCATGGTACATATATTTAGTTTAGTTATATTTATATTTCAAATCAATCTCTTTCAAACATTTTTTTAATAATTGTTTAAAAAAGATCTTTATTCTTTTTTTTTCCCAAACAACTTCACTTGCATTAATTTATATTCTTAGTGAGGAAAAACTACTGGTTATTTGAACTTTTCAGAAATAGAGGTTTTTAATTTTATATAAAATTAAAAATTTTGAGTACAAGTATTTTATTAAAATATGAATATTAACTTTGAAAAATAAATAAGTGAATTTAATCATATTTTGCCTCTTAAAAAAAGAAACAGATAAAATTACAAATGTTTATCTGTTATTTATTTTAAGAGAAATTCATATCATCTAGCTTTTTTTTCCTCCTTGTTATCGGTGAAAAAATAAGAAAAATTGCCACAAATACCTCAAAATGCTGTGAATAATTTTAATTAAATTTATTATACCATTTAAAAATTTCAAATAAAGAAACATAAGTCAAAATTAGTACATAATCCTTTACATAGTTTTTTTTTTGTTTTTTTTTCTTTGCAAAAATAAAAGGTTCTTGAATTACGAAAAACTTTTTACTAATTTAGTAACCGCTATTTGAGGTATCTGCAAGAGTTTAGAATTTTTCTAACAGATTCAATTCAATTTCATAGAAGAAAAAGAAAGATGATATCCCCTCGAAAAGCAATGAACTTGTATAAATTTTGATTCACTGAAACTTGGGTTGCATGTTGTAAAACATAAAAATGTTCTGAATAATAAGTTGCTAATTCAATATATAAATTGCAATTGTGGTAACTTTTTGTTGTTTTAAATGCTCTTTCAATCTATGAAACTGATGATTAATGGTGAAAAATATATTTTATTTTGAATCGATCAAATTCTAAATTTCTGTCAGACTAGGATTAAAGGATGTGGTTTTTTTTTTCTTTTTATTATATATTCTTGCTCTATTTCATAGTTATCTATCATTCCATTGTTCATATTTTATGTTTCATTACCATGCAATAAAGTGGAAAATATTTTCAGGTTATGTGTCCTTTTTTTTTTTTGGTCACTGTCTTTATTACTGACTCTAAAAATTCAAAAGAGCTTTTTTTCTATAAAATTAAAAAAGAAAGAAACTTTTGTGTATCAGTATACAGTTGAACCCCATTTTAAACAAATTCCAAGGGACAGATACAATTGCTACGCAATGATGAAAATTCGTTGTACCAATATTACGAATTTCACGGTTATGTGCCTTTGTTTTTGTCTCTGTCTTTATTTTACTGACCAAAATTTCTAAAAAGTATTTCTTGGAAATTTTTAAAAAAAATTTTGTTTGTATATTAGTATGCAGTTGAACTCCGTTTTAACGAATTCCAAGGGAGCGAAACAATCGCTACGCAATAACGAAAATTCGTTGTACCGATCTTACGAATTTCAGGGTTGTGTGACTTTTTTTTTGTAGCTGTCTTTAATTAACTGACTATAATTAGATACCAGATAATAGAACCAGTAAAAATTACAAACTTTTCCAAATTATGCGCATTTTCAAACAACTGAACTGGAAATCGCTCTTTTGGAAAGCCGCGTGTATCTTTGCTTTTTCACACATGAATGGGTTGTGGTTTAGTCTTTTCAGGGTGACTCGACTTTATTGACTTGTCTCTTTCCTATCAGAGTCTTTTTATTTTGAAAATGCGAAAATATTTTAATTCTGAGATACTTGTGCGCTTTTGGTGAATGGAAAAGTGTTTTTAATCATGAGAGAAAATGAGATTTGTTGCTTATTATCACCTTCGTTAAATTACCAATTTCGTAAAATCAATATTTTTAATCCATTGTTTCTATGGAGATTCATTGAAATTTTCGCTATTTGGGATTTTGCTGAAGCGGGATTTGACTGTATAGTAAAGGAAGTATACGAATAAAAAATTAGTAGTTGCTATGTTCTAAAATACCAAATATTCAGAATTTGCCCCATTTTCTAGTAATTTTAATTTACACTTGAGAATTGCAAAAAGCTGTCGATAAACTAAAAAAAATAGTCTAGCTTCTACATTTTTATGACTACTTATTTTCTAGATAAAAAGAATTTATAATTGTCTCAATTCTTTTGTTTAGTAATTTTCGCTTTTTTAAGCATTCTTTTTTGCAATTTAGAGACAAACCTTTTATTTTTTTCCTATACAAGCAATTCGATTTAATTCCATGATCATATTTTGTACAAATCTTTCTAATACTTTTACTTAGCTCTTATTCTTAATACAATTGGAAATTATTTTATACAGAAAAAATATATAATTAAATGTTTTGTATTTTATATCGCTGCACAAAATTGACAGCTGTTATTTTTGTTTTTTAATTATTATTATTCTGGCGTTGGTGGGTACAACCGATTGTCTCTATAATCTATATTATTTGTACTCATACTTTTTCTATAACTGCAGCAAGTTTCTCGATGCCCTTTTAATAATACTTAAATCTTGTTTTATAAATTACATACCTGCCAAGTCTCCTGTTTTTTTATTGAAGACTCCTGTATTTTACAACTATCTCCTGATTACCCGTATATTCTCAAATTTCTCTGTATTTGTTAAAGAAATGTTTTTTAAAAAATTGCCGATAAAATATCCGCTGATGGCAAAAATCCCTTATTCCTCAACAGATATTGCTATTGCTAGTACTACACTATGTTGAGTGTTAATAGATTAAGTAGTTTTAAAAAAAATCTCCTTTAAACTATGATTTATTTACATATTTTTTTCGTTCCTTAATGTAATTGCTTATTTTCAATTTCTCTTTTTGACGTGCACGATGTATCAAAACTTTACTTGTAGCCTAAAATGTGTCACTAGTAAAATCTCTGTTATTTTATTTCCTCAATGTTGGCTGGCATACATATATATGTATCAAAGGCAAGGACTATTTTGGCTGATATATGGGCAAATCAGCGACGGCAAAATCAACAACTTTTATCATTTAGCTACTAAAATAAAATTAAAATTCACGCTTTTTTGTTCTCTTCGCCATGCTACAAGTTATACAATCATAATCACCCTTTATTTTTTCTCTTCTGTTATATTTTTTCCTTTTGCAAAATAAAGAAATTATAAATGATTGATTTAATTATCTGCTTCAAAGTTACTGTCCGATAGATGTATGTCATTTCGTAGGTGATAATGGGAGCAGCAGATATACTAACAGAACATAGATACCAAAGAGCAGGGTTGGCAAGGTTTAGGACAGAATGGATTAATCCACGGTTTAAACCGTCCTGTCCAAAACCCTTTTACTCAAATTATGTCACTATTTCATCTGAACAATATTTAAGAGGTAAAATAAACATAGAACTAATAACGTATTGATAATTAAATATACTAGGGAATTTTTGTTTTTAAAAGTATAATGTTTTATTAATATTGTTTGACTCTTCAATTTAAACATTAAACAAAGGAAGATTAATCAGTAATCAAGTTCAATTGGTCCTCTCATTCAATAGTACATAACTGAAGTTTGGCCTTGCCATACAGGTTAAAATATTAGGGACTAAGTGCTTGGTTCGTCATAAACAGATTTATCTATAGTATTCAATACTTTTATTTCATTCATGTTCAATTCTTTTAGTATAGTGGTGATACATCACCAGTGTCAGTAACTGAAACTGATGTTATGCCCTTCAAAACTATTAATACATTTTTCAGTTATTTTGTATTTCCAATTTAAACTAATATATTTATATTCAAAAACAATTCTTTTCAAAATAGATGTCTTTTTTATCATCCTGTGATGCAGAAATTATAACATTTTTTTAAAAAAATATTGTGAAAAAGGTTAATTTTTGAACAAATTTAGTATTTTTTTTAGGAAATATTATTTTTTTTTAATATTGCCATATTTATTCTTATGCAAAAATATTATTTATCAGTATTAAAAGCATATTTATATTTAAAGGATTAGGCATTCACTGTTGTTGTTCAATGAATTGTGGTGCTTCAAAAATTATAAACCTTTTCCTATTATATTATATTATTTTCTTTTAATAAGTTATAGTAAATTGTATAAAAAATATCAAATATTTATTGATACATGTAATTATTATGTGTACAATGGTTACACCTATAGAATTTTTACCTTTTACCAAAGTTCAAGGTTTTGAACACTTTAAGACAGTTTTACCCAATCTAAGACAGTAAAACCCACGTGTCCTGTCCAAAACCAGTTTAGGACGTCCAAAACCCCAACCCTGCCAAAGAGATTTCAGTATTTGTCCTGCAACAGGTTTCATTTTAAGTTTTATATTTAACATATGAAAGGAAGTAAAACAGTACTTACCAGAAATAGATTTTTGAGGAAGAAAACGAAAAAATGTATTTCTGGTGAGGTGTTTTTTTTCTTCTAAAATCCTTAATTGGTATTATGCTATTGGAAGGTCTAAGTGGATATAATTATAAAATTGAGAACAATTCTAAATTTCATCATGTAAAAATACGCGAGGAAAACATTTGATGTAATTATGAGGACAGTTGTAAAAATAAAGAACACTGTTATTAGAAGCAGATGATTGAGAAACAAAGGGTGATTTGGACAAATATTTCTTAAACTTATTTTGTCTTTTGGGCAGCATGCTATAACACAATATAATAACAGTAAAATATCAATTATTTAAAAAAATGTTTTAACTCTAGTTTGAGAAAAATATATGCTTAGTTTATTTAAATTGTAATTATAACTACATATAAGTATAAAACTTGTTTCAAATTCGTGTTTTTACATTTTCTTTTTTAAATGGCCTTTCTGACCGATATATTAGCACTCATTTTTATGGGGAAAATTATAACTTAAGGAGACGTTTTGAATTCTGAAGTCGAATCAAAAGAAATTTAATGTCGCTAAGCGTGTTTGTTTTCCAAAAAAAAGTTATAATTTAAAAAAAAAACTTTTTGATCTTTAATTTTTTAATATTTTCTTTTGTCTTACTTAAAAGTGCTAGTTATTTTTATATTTGCAATCGAACATAATTTTTTCATTGTCAAACCAAAAAATGAATGCTTTAAAAATCGTCAAAATACTTAAAACGTGTAAAATCATAAAAATTAAAATATAGACTTTAATAAATTAGCANCGAATCAAAAGAAATTTAATGTCGCTAAGCGTGTTTGTTTTCCAAAAAAAAGTTATAATTTAAAAAAAAAACTTTTTGATCTTTAATTTTTTAATATTTTCTTTTGTCTTACTTAAAAGTGCTAGTTATTTTTATATATTAGCATTTAAATGTTTCCTGTTTTCAAATCGTTTTTAATATGGAAATTTAATGTATTTCACAATGTTATGATAGTAAAAAAGAAAAAAAAACCTTTTGAAACCTGCTTGTTCTTATTTGTTTCCTGGAAACATAGTTGCCCCCTTTATATAATTTACGATCACACAATTAATATCGTGATTTTGTAAATGTAATCTAAGTAAATCTTTGGACTTAAAATTTTTAGCATTTATTTTATTTCTTCCCATAACAGAAAATTATTTATATTCAACACCTAAAAAGAATCCTTTCGATATTTTTATTTAATAGCAATAAATAATCGTTCATCTACCCTTCCTTGAAATGTTTTACTCCATTTTCCACCATAAACAAACTGAGTTTCTTTAAATTTTAAAATACCAATAGAAGGTAATCAGAATTGGCCTCCCGTGGTATAGCGACCTTGTAAACACCAGAAATAAAAGTAGTGCTAAGATTGCATAAACCAAAATTTGTAAGTTTATTACCGGCGACCAGCTGGTCCGCCTTTCTATCTATCCTTACAAACCACTCTATAAAAGTTTGCAAACTGTTGGAAAAAGAACAATCCAAATCGGTGCTGCCGGTTCTCAAATTATTATCGAACATCCCGACAAACTTTCGATGTATGGAGGACATGCCAAGCTATTGCTTTCCTTTCCTCTTTGTCTTGAATAGACGTTTTTAATTTTAAAAAAAAGACACAATTTTTTAATGACAAAATTTAATGCCATTTAGTGACAAAATAAATTTCTATACACATATAAATATATAGAGAAAAAGAGTAGTCATTCCCTTAAAATGAAATCGTGTTGGTCTTGGTTGTTCCCTTTGTTAACACTTCATCTTTCTGGACGGAAAACAATCAAAATTATCTGGGCTGGAGTTCATACCAAGAAGATTTACTTCGATTTAAGAAGGATGAGTTCTTAGGTACTAACACCAAATATTTATAACTACTTCGAAACAGTGGAATTTTTCAAAAACTTTTGCACGGAATAACTATCAGGTTTAGTTTCGAACGAATGGATTTGAAATTTCAGTGATCCGATGGCATCAGGACACAAAGCTCAATTCTAACGAATTTCATATGAATGACATCGTTCTATCATTTAATCACGTCGCCATAGAATTGGTTCGTAATGGATGGTAGAACTAGAAAACACTATCGTACCTTTTGTCTATGCTAAAAATATTAAAATTCTTTTTTAGAGCCTTGCATATATTTTTTTTATTTATCACCTCTGTGTCAGCGAATGTGGTTTTATTTTACTGGCCATCTGAAGTTATAATGAAAGAAAAAATTACAGTTTAAGGCTCAAATGACTTGAAAACTGATGAATGCAACTGTTTGGCTTTCTCGAATGTAATTATAAATTTTTAAATCCACCACTGATTCTCAATCATCATCCCTAAGACCATGTCGTCGTAACTACCGAACGGTTTGCTTTTCAACTTATAAAAAATCATTCCAAAAGTAGCTAGCAGCTGAATTTTGCCCCAACAAGAACATCTGTCTCGAGGTTGTTCCAAAAATATAGAGCCACCAGAAAGTCGTTCGATCAAAGCCATAATGTTCACAAAGACACCAAAAAATGAAAGTGGAGAACTGCATGGCCATATATTTTCACAACCTTTTTCCGTTAATAAATCGAAGTACACGATAGCTGAAAAAAGAATTAAGAACACAGTCACTTTTGAGTTCATCCAAAGAATTATGACCAGTAGTGAACCATATTCTCAGAAAAAAAAAGCTATAATGAATCAATGTTTACTGAAAACGATCTGAAGAAAATTTGTTCTACCACCATTACCGATACGTTCTAAATGGTGAACAGTACTTTCATAATTTCGTTGCTGTGGTGACCCATTTGAAAAGTTGTTTGTTTCGTTGTTTTATATGGATGTCGTCCTGTCACAATCGTTGTAGTTTCGAGAATGTTCTTCTTTATCATGAGGTGAAGCAGCGAAGAGGTGTTCGTATATAAGTCCGGCTACCACCCCTCCGAGAATAGGTCCTACCCAGTATATCTGAAATTTAAAAAAAGATTTAAGTCAATTCAAGTTGAAATAAAGTTGCTCTTAATGAGAAATTTGTCTAAACATTTTGGTACGTTGAGAAATTTAAGTAACATTTTGTATTTAAACTTGTCTCAATTGTAAATAGAAAAACTCTTAGTGCTAATTATAAAGAAGAGAATAGGGAAACACCACGTTTGATCAGTTGATGAAAATTGTTCAAACTTGTGGTCGATTCGAAACAGAATCAGTGCCAATATCTGAATCGGAGCCTTTGTTGATTCAATAAGGAACCTTCAGTATTCACACAAACTTACAGTTCTCTGTTACAAATGGCGAAGTTTACGCTGAAAACCAGGACTGATCGTTAAGACACGGTTCCCAGTAGAACACTGAAGTCAAGCATCACTGGCTGCAGTCAGTAAGAGGGTGGGTGACCACTTTGACCAGCCTGCCTAGGGACTGAGGGTGTACGATATCGGTCCTCGTTAAACGGTTCAACCGTCTGGCTACCAAAGCAGGGGAGCCATCCCCTCTGCAGAGGATCAAAATTGTGATGGTATGTCTTCGGAATCGGATCATCCTCAAGGATGTTTCCCAGACAGTCGCGAATAACCCATTGTGCAACTCTAGTGAGACGTAAATAAAGCACCGTACCTTACCTCGTCGTAAACACTGTGTACTGGTATGGAGATGTATCCGCGTCTGTAGATATGTAGTTCGTCCAGATTTCATTGTAAAGGACAGTGAGTGACCATTTAAATCGCATCTCGTAGACGATTTGTTCTAAAGCATGTCTAGGTTATAACAAATGACAACTCGCAATATTTTTTTCTTCAATCATCCAGGGTCTGAAAACAGGGCTAGTGGAACCAACGTCAAAACTTTCCTGGATGATACCACGGCTGATATAATTGAGTAGGAAAGGAACAAAATTATAATAATTTTTAACTTCATAACCCTGATTAGTTTTTTAATCTATACTGAAGCTAATGTTTCTTACTTGTCGACTACGCGTAAATATTATAACTATTGAATAGTTGTTTTGATATTATTTCTCACATAAGTATTAGTTTGCTACCTCAAATGTGTCGAGAGCCCACAGTGGCCCAAAACGAGAATCGACTTCGGAAAGTCGGGTCACCAAAGCGGGGACCCATCAACTCTACAGAGAATCAAAACTGTAATGGCACGTCTTTAGATCATCCTCAGGGATATTTCCTAGACCGTCGCCAATAGCTCACTGAGCAGCTCTAGAGCGACGTAAATAAAGTACTATTACTGCTACAAATGTGTCTAGTATCCGTTTTCGATAAAATTTCAAAAAGATTGGTGGAACATCCTGTAGTTACAGAACTCTCAGATTATAATTTTAAAAAAAAAAAAATTCTCACCCAGTGATTCTCCCAATTGTTGAGTATAACAGCAGGACCAAAAGATCTCGCCGTGTTCATACTCGCACCAGTGTACTTTATCTGCGAAAGAGAAAATCAATCATAAATTAGGATAAAAAGCGGCAAGTTCATGGCATTAAATCTTAACAAATTTTAGTACACATATTTTTGCATCTATATTTCGAATGCCCTTAAAATATTAATTACTTTAAGGATATCTCATTAAATATGTTCTGATTGATGTTACAGCATTTCTTGTTAAACATAAAATATCAAACAGAATATTTGGAGCAGCGATGACTCAGGGGACAGAGTGTTCGCCTTCCAATGAGGTGAACTGGAGTTCGATCCCGGCAATGGCTGGTGGATACGAATTCCGCATCCGGTTTGCACAGTGCTGACGTGAAATATCCTCAGTGGTAGAAGGATCGTGAGTTAGAGTCCCCTTGCCGTAAGGCTAACCGTGGGAGGTTCTCGTGGTTTTCCTCTCCATGTAACGCAAATGCGGGTTGAATCCATCAAAAATGTCCTCCACGAAGGCAATATAAAACAGTATATTTCGAGCCGTCGTGGCTAAGGGGATAGAGCATTCGACTTCCAATGAATTTAACCGGGTTCGAGTCCCAACGATGGCTGGTTGATACAAATTCCGCACCCGGCTCTCACTGAGAACAGTGCTGACGCAAAATATCCCCAGAGGTACACGAATCATTGTAAGAGTCCTCTTACGGTCGGGCTAACCATAAAAGATTTTTGGGGTTTTCCTCCCCTCCATGTACATATATATATATGTATATATATATAGAGAGAGAGAGATTATTATTAACTGGGTTTGAATTATCTAAACCACGCAATTTAAACTTATGATTCAAATTGTTTTGAAATCACATTAAAGATATTGTTTAACTGTAAATTATGTTTCTCTATCTTTCTTTTTTTTTTTGTATTCTGTTTCGTTGTGGCATATGAAAAAAAAATTTCCCATTGATCAGCTATAAGACCGTACATTCCTTCGACGGGGGGGAGGGGGAGGCAAGTAAGGGATAATTTGCTTGCAGTTTTCACTAAGGAAATGTTAAAGCCCGCATTTTTTTTAGAATTCAAACACGAAAAATTATAAATTCTTTTTAATTGCAAATTTAATTACGCAAATATTGAGTGAAAAATTTTAATTTTAGAAGGAGCTGTGCCCTTTATTTATAAAATGCGTAGGGCTGAAGACCCAATGCATTCTTTATTTCTGAGTACAAAATTTGACAAAACAACAAATTTGACAAAAATTTCAAACCCAAAATATTTTTGCCACACTTTTTTATTTATTCGAAGTCAATGCATGGCGGTTAAGCTACCGAGGTAATCTTAAAGCAGCTTGTTCTCTGACTCTGATTTCAGCAATGATTGTTCATTGTTTTTGAATATGATTGTTCATTTTCATGCTGTAAATTTCTTGTTTCAGTCGTTATTAGTATCACGTGTTTTGCGACTGTGCGTTTAAAATGTAAATTTGTAACGTTGTATTTGCATCATAACTATACACGTTTCATAAATTTTATCATCAAACTTGCGATTTCAAGTTGAAATCTTTATAAATATTTTCAAACAATCCTCCTTTTGGTTCGAGTGTAGAGTAGAATAGGGTTCCCCTGAACTGGGCACTTAAGCTTTTACTACATATAAAATTTTCAATTTTCTTATAATTTCTTATTCTCTGAAAATTTCACTTTTTTACTATTTTCCTTGTTTCCTACAAAAATATTTTTAAAAAAATAATAATAAAATAAGAGAAATACAATATTTGTAAATTTTTGCCGGTGTTTTTTTTTTTTTTTTTTCATGGCTTTATAGATTAGATTTTCATTTTGATACTTTTTTTGTTTCTATACTTCAAGTCATTGCTGTTACATTACGGGCCAGGAAACTATTGTATGCATTACTCCTCCAATTCATAGAAATGTGCCGATCATTCTAAACTAGGCTGCAGTAACAAAAGTACTTGTCTTTCCCATTAACTTAATGATTATTTGGATTTGCCGGCGGTACTTTCAGAATTGAAGCCAACATGTTGTAGTGGCGGCGCTGATAAACATTCTTTCTATTTATAGAGAGAGAGCGACCCGTTCTTTCCAGAAATACATTTCTACCTTAGCTTCTTTATTATAAGGAGCAAAGCAGAGAGAAGGTGGCTTGTTTATTTATTCTCAACTTGTTTACTTATGTTCACATAAAAAATAAACAAAATGGGTTGCTGACCACGAATCCGTATTTTGCGACCAAAGTTTTTCTGGGAAATATGTTTTTTTTTCCCTAGAAAAAAAACTGGAAAAATCTGCCTTTTTGAGGGCAATTTTTTTTTTTACGAAAGATTTAAAATTTCGGGTATTTTACCTATGTTTACGTAAAAAATAAACATAATGGGGTGCTGACCATGAACCCGCATTTGGGGACCAAACTTTTGCTGGGAAATATGCGAAAAAACTGGAAAAACTAGCTTTTACTTAAGGTAGGAAATTTCTGGTAAAATATTTCAAAACTATAGAACATATTCTATAAATTCTATAGCTACACTTTTTCTGTAGGATAATAAATTGAAGAATTACGATCTCTGGAAAAACGACCATTGAGCTGGAATGATGTTCTCTCTCAGTACCTCAAAGGAAAAATTGGGAATAAAATTAATAGAGGTTAAAAATTTTATAAGTATTTTCTTGTATTTCTTCTCAACTTGTTTACCTATGTTCCAATAAAAAATGAACAAAATGGGGTTGCTGACCACGAATTTTTCTGGAAAATATGTTTTTTTTTCGAGGATAAACTTTAAAAATTTTTACTTAAGAAAAAAAATTGCTGGTGAAATATTTCAAAGCTAGAAACTAAAGAATGTATTCTATAAATTCTATATTTACACTTTAAATGGAAACACTTCAACGGAATATATTTACACTGTCAATGGAAAACTTTTATGTTATTAATCATCTAATGAAATGACATTTCAAATAGTTTCAAATAAAAATCTATGGTCACACCAACTTTCCTTTAAGCAGGTAAAAATTTATTTTGTACAACATAACAAACTTGTATATGAAGTATATTTATGAAAAGAAAGGAAATGGAATAACAGTCAAACGTTATAATCTACATCTGGTGTCTGCTTCATGATTTTACTACTTCATATTTTAAAACTTGGTATTGTTACGCTTCTCGAATCACAATTAGTATTGGAGTAATAGATTAAAGTAATTTGGTGCAGCGATACGAAGTTGGCAACAAACAAAGAAACATAATTTTTTTATATGCACGAGTACTCATTTGGAATAGTATTTGATAAATATTTAATAAAAAAAATCGTGTAATAACGTCATATTATTGCATTTCTCACACATTAGTGGGAAAAATCGGTAAATTTTAAATAAAAAGAAACAATTCTCACAACGCGAAAATATCGGGCAGTAGTTTGCTTACATTGAAAATGTAAATAAAGAATAATACCCGCAAGTGGCGTATTGTGGGTATCTCTATCCTGATTGGTTGTTGAAATGTGGCATTTATATACGTTTGCAACTGTTCTTTTCATTCTATTTCGAGTAAGCCAAGCCAGTAAAGTATCAATTCTCTTAAGTGACACATTCTAAATTCTTTCACAAAGATTCTTTCTCAAAGACTTCAATTCTTTCACTATATATTTATACCGAGACTTAACACAAAGACAGACACGAGGCCATGTGGAACATAAAAAAACTAATTATGCATCGAAGTTGCCAGGTGCACAAAACAGAACTATATCACGGTTACCGTAAATTGCATAAACAAATAACACGATCTCGTAATTCTTTAATTTATCACCATGTGGATAAAGTATAGATATAAATTTTGTAGAAAATATTTTCTAGTTTCGAAATATGTAATCAGAAATTTCCATCTTAAATCAAGTTTTATCTAAAAACTACTCGCACAAAAATAAGAATATCTGTAAAGTAGTTTTGGTCTTTTACAAAAAAGTTTTATAATTCAATATTCCTTCAGTTTTTTCTCGGAAAAAAAATATTTCTGTACAAAAAGTTCGGTTGCAAAATGAGGATTCAAGTTCAGCGCCTCAACATAAGTATGCAAAAAATAAGAATTGCCTGGACTGGACTAGGAATAAAATGTCCAATATTCCAGATTTTTTTGCGAGCTCAGACTAACTATCACAATGGGAAAAAAAACAAAATTTAATAAAACAAAAATTTATATAAGATATCTGTAAACTAGTTTTGGTTTTCTTCCAGTTTTATAGTTCAGTACAGTATAATAATAATACAGTAATTTATCTAAGATATCTGTAAACTAGTTTTGGTTTTCTTCCAATTTTATAGTTCAATATTCTTTCAGTTTTTTTTTCTGGGACTATTGTTTATAATTACTGTATTATAAACAAACTTTAATAATACAGTAATTTATCTAAGATATCTGTAAACTAGTAATGGTTTTCTTCCACTTTTCTAGTTCAATATTCTTTCAGTTTTTTCCCCGGAACTATTGTTTATAATAACTGTATTATAAACAAACTTTAATAATACAGTAATTTATTATTTAAGTTATCTGTAAACTAGTTTCGGCTTTCTTCCAGATTTATAGTTCAGTACAGTATAATAATACAGTAATTTATCTAAGAAATTTGTAAACTAGTTTACAGATATCAGTAAACTAGTATCGGTTTTCTTCCAGTTTCATTGTTCAATATTCTTTCAGTTTTTTCCCCGGAACTATTGTTTATAATTACTGTATTATAAACAAACTTCAATAATACAGTAATTTATTATTTAAGTTATCTGTAAACTAGTTTCGGCTTTCTTCCAGATTTATAGTTCAGNCCTCAAGAAACATACGTATGTCAAAAATAAACATTTCCACCATTGCCTGGACTGGACTAGGAATAAAATGTCCAATACTTTTTTTTGGATTTTTTCTTTCTTTTTTTTGCGAACTCAGACTAACGATGACAGGTAAAGAGACTAACTTTTATAATACAGAAATCACTCTTAAGAAAAACATCAAATCAACAAACAAAAACAACAAACATAAGGTAACAAAAACATTTGTTA